AAGGTGAATCCAAAAGGAATCACGCCCAACCAACCACAACATTTTGCTATCAAATTTAGGAAAGACAAGCCTCCCTGAAGGAATATTATCAATTCACTGCAGTTTCAATGCGTAAATGTCAAGGAAAGCTTATTTTAGATAAAATAAAATGATCCTTTGCACTAAAGAAAGGTCATGGCAATATTTTTGAAAAAGGTTACATGGATCTACTTCATAGGTAAAATAGACATCAGTGTCAGCCTTTCCACTGACCTTAAAGGGAATCAAACTCAGGCTGCAATTTAGGAGGAGTTGAATCTTCCTACCACCCCCACTTTATTACTTTTGTACCACAAGATATTCTATGCTGAGTAGGGCGGTACACACAAACAACTAGTTCATCTAAAGTGAAGGAATGTGCCCTACAATTAGACATGGGATGGTGACCCACATCAGACAGGTGATTTTGGACTACCATTAGAGAGAGAAGTAAGTGCCAATTATTTACAGTATTATTAGATTTTTATTTCAACTGCGGCAATGTCGGGGACTGGGCAGAGGAGGAATGGTGGAGACCACCTCCCCATCCTGACCCTTCCAGGGAGGAGGAAAAAGAAGGCAGTATAGATTTACAACAGGGGTTTGAGGGAGGTCACAGCTCAGAGGCAGATGAGGGAAAATTAATGGGAGAGCCAGAACAATCCCGGCTGACACGTTGGCATTAGAAAGCATTCCAGACTTTCCATCTCTCAGAACTTGGCAAGCCTTAAAAGTTGGAGAGCAAAAAGCTCAAAGACAGAGGGCACCAGAAGCACCCATAGAGGAGGTGATGAGAATGACAAATGAGGAAGAGGGAAGATGGGGGGGGGTGGAGATTCACTTGGGACAACGCCATTATCCAAGAGGCTGGGTTCTATAGCCTCTCTCTGTAAAAATTGAAATAATAAAGGACAGTAGGAAACTTTTCCTTGTCTTTATACTTTCCTGGGCAACCAGCTGGGAGCCATTGACAGCATCCTGACAGGCACCATTTTTTTTTTCTGCCCCGACACATAAACACCCTGGGTTGCCTCACACAGGGAAGCATTTTTAATCAGCAAAGGGATTTTTAAATCAGTGTGGGTATGAATTAAGGACACACTTAAGTTCATGAACGCATGTGTGCGTGTGCAGGTTCTACATGGAAAGCTGCTCCTGTTCCTTGGCCCCAAGCCATCTCCCTAGGTTGGCAGAAAGGCCGTCAACCTACCTCATTTGATGTGGCAGAGAGTGACAGCATCAATAAAAGGTCTTCCTAGAACGCCACAGTGTGCGTGGCACAGCTACTGCATTGTCACCTGTGTGTCACATCCTGCATTTCCCCCTGACGTAACAATGCTTCCAGGATGTGGCTGTGGTTGAACATGGAAATCAAATGTAAGGAAAACAATTTTCAGTGGCCCCATCAGATATGCTGCGCTTGGATTAGACCACACAGATTTGCTTTGAAACATTCACAATGTCTCGTGGAAGCCAACCATAATAATTCAGTAATAACTGAACCCACCCTATTCCAAGGATAACATTATGTCATGACTAACCTAAAGGGACTGGTCACTAATGTCTCAATAGATTTTCCAGAGTAAGACATAGTGAGCTAAAAATGGTCTGAAATCTAGCTGCCTAGAGGGGTTTCTTCAGTTCCCATGACTACACAAGATTACAGAAAGCACTGAGACCTGGCGTATCCAATTCATTCTACATGAGCCAGTGAACAGCAATTAGATGCTAAACGTTGCTGACTCGACCCACACAGGAGGATGGACTTGCACCGAAGTCTTCTAGGCACCAGACTTCATTTATTTCAGGCACTGATATCCCGCCTCTGCCCAGCTCAAGGAAGCTTACAACAAAGATTAAAACCTCCAGACAACAACAACAACAAAAACCAGGACAAAATACAAACACCAAGAACCCCCATGAAATTATAAGGAATGTAATATTCATAGCAGCAGAAGCAAAACCTCATTACAGGGGCAGAAGATTCCATTTTGCTGCTTGAGATGTCAAGTTTTGAACCTGGGTTTTTTTTTTACATGCAAAGCATGTATTCTACCACTGAATTACAGCACCACACCCTATTGGAGGAAGGGCAACAGTTCAGTGTTAGAGTTTCAGCTTCCCAGCAGAGGGTCCCTGGTTCAATCTTCATCATCTCATGGTAGGGCTGAGAATGTCCCTGGTCTGGATCCCTAGAAAGCTGCTGTTAATCAGTGTACCGTAGGTGATACTGAGCTGGATAGACTGCAATTGGCCTGACTCAGTATAAGGCAGATTCCTATGTTCCAATGTACTTCCCTTGCATACAAAGACAGGCTCCGGTGGATTGAGCAGACAAGAACAATAGTGGGACCAATGGTCAAGGAGGTGGTTTTCTCACATTGTAAAGGGAACTGAAGGGAAGACCTGGGAAGGCAGCCCATCTAGGAGAAGGAAAACTCTGGTCCTAAACTTCCTCTGCTTTGCAAGAGAATGCTCTCCCCGGGAGGCTCACCTGGTGCCTTCATTATACATCCAATGTCCTTTAAAAGTGTGTTGGGGGGAGCTATTGGGTTTTTGTTTTGATTATGTATTTTGTGGTTTTATATTCTGATTTTATTCTGTGAACCACCCTGAGACCTGCAGATATAGGGCAGTACAGTCGTACCTCGGGTTACATATGCTTCAGGTTACAGACACTTCAGGTTACAGACACTTCAGGCTACAGACTCCGCTAACCCAGAAATAGTACCTCGGGTTAAGAACCTTGCTTCAGGATGAGAAATCGTGCGGTGGCAGCAGGAGGCCCCATTAGCTAAAGTGGTACCTCAGGTTAAGAACAGTTTCAGGTTAAGAACAGACCTCCGGAACGAATTAAGTTATTAACCCGAGGTGCCACTGTATACAAAGAATACGAATAAGAATAAGGATAAGAATAAGAATAAAGGTATCTTCAGGAGAAGAAAAGGCTAGGGAGAAAGCCCTACACAAATCCAGAGTGGCGTCACTCAGACGGTTGGATGGCACCTTCTTCCAGCAACTCCTGCAACTAAGCTTGTGCCCAATGTATTGCTCTGCTTTCCTTTGGACCACACCAGCGAGGCTGAGAGGGGGGGTCATCTAGCTCCAAACACACTGCCCAGGGAAGGTCACTTCACTCCTACTGATGCAGCGGTTTGACTTCACCCCTGAAGGTACACTCCATTGTCTTTCGACAATGGATGGAATGTTCCAATGTACAAATCTTATGGGGTTTAGTTGCACAACTATAGGAGTTACATTTTCGTGGGACTGCTTTATTGCAAAAGAGTTGTGCTGAGAACAAAAAGGAGGAGTATATAATTTGTTACATTAAGATTGCTGAAACTTCGAGCAGCTAAGAAGGAATGTGTAATGACCAAGGATGCTGCCCCTGAGCTTGGCTAGCCCGTTTGCACCTTTCACAGCTCTTCTTTGTTCTCCCTCATTAATCCCAAATGACTCTCCATTTTAGACACGGCCCTTTATGTCGATCAGTAACCATGGAGAACATTTGACTTTCAGTTCTCATCTTTGTACCTCAGCAGAAAGAAATTTCAAAGGGTTTCTTTTTTAATTTTTTAAACGATAATATTTAAGTCTCCTGGTCTTTAGGAGGGGTTCCAAGTGGCTACGTACCATTTATCATTGGATAAAGCAAATGTCACCTCACCAAGCAGTCAGTGGTACAGAAAATCAGCTTCACAATAGGACAAAAAGATAAATGCAACCCCTATAAAGCAATCAAATGCATGACCCATATGACGTGCTGGCCAACAACACATTTTCTCAGGTACAGAAAAGATGAATTTTACAATAACATTATGATTCTGCCTCCTTCCCCCGGCTGTAATTTATCTGAATATTGCATCACTCATTTAGCAATATTAGTGTCTTAATTTTGACGAGAAGCTCAGAGCCTATGCAGAGCATAAAATCCAGTTAAGCTCCATTAAGACCTTTTGATAATGTGAGAAGATTTCTAGTGTGCACTTAACTCACTTGCAGGAAATGGATAGGAGCAAAATACGCTTAATCTTGGATGGATTGTGCCTATCATCTCTCTTGTTCTGATTTCACTAAAAGATCTTTTCGAAAACTCTGCAGCTCAAAAAGGACTGTGCAGGTTCTGTCCTTCATGAAGAACTTCTGCTCAAAACAAATCATGTTTCAATCTAAGTCCACATTTGATTATAGTTCCTTAGAAGATATTTGAGTGCAAGTGAGACCTTTTTTTTTAATGGCGTAGGCCAGGCTGGGGAACCAGACGTAGCCAGACTCCAACTCCCACCAGCACTTGGCAGCATGAGCAAGAGTAAGGGATGATGGGAGTTGTAGTTCAGCAAAAATATCTGGCGGGCCTCAGGTTTCCCATCCAAGTCATGCGCTTTCATAGACCTGAATCAGTTTCATGCATCTGAGGAAGTAGATTTAGTACATCTACAAAAGTTCATGCCATTGTAAGTTTTGTTATTCTTTAAAGGTGCTGCAAGACTCTCTGTTGTTCTTTTAAAAATAGTACTGTAGGGAGAGTCATACTGGTTTATTAATTTCTTATATCTGCTTAGTGTATCCCAAATCCCAGGAACTAAATTGTCTGCTCCATTTCCAGATTGTGTATGTGTGGGTTTTTTGTTTTGTTTTTGTTTTTAAAAAAACCCTGAATAAAACTCACAACTTCTACATAAGTTCCTGGGCAGTTCAAGGACATTAACAAAGTTTACAGAAAGAGTCTCTCCCCTCATGTTGCCTGCCCTTATAGCTGAGAAGATTGAGAAAGAATTCCAATGAAAGCGGTCCAAAAGAGGGTGCTAAAATGTTTGTCATGTAAATCCAGCATGTCAGGATTTTCTTCAAAAGCCAGTCCTCTCATAAATAGTTTTTTGTGGGGGTGGGGGATAGATAGTTGCCTCACTGTCTACTCAACCAGTATCTTCATTCCTTCAATTTTATTTCCTATTGCAGCAATCAGGAGTTTAGCTTTCCCCTGCAAAAAAGCAGAAAACGAGGAGGAGTAAAAGAACGAAAAGGACACCAGGCACAATGCCTTCTCAATCAGAGTTGCCACTAGAAGCAAATAAGGAGTGTCCTGCTAGGCTGATGAACAGCTCTGATGAAGAGGTGTTTGCCAAAGCTCATAGTTACTTGAGAGGTGTCGTTAGTAGACTGTTGGACGAGGACCTGGGATGTCAGTGATCAACTAGTTCCTGAGCTCCCAAGCGGGTGGTAAATTCCATCTAAGGCTCAATATTGGCACAAGACCGATCGCCAACAAGTACCACAAAGGAAAGAACTTTAAAGAGAGAGCTGAAGAGGTTGCAAAACCGTTAAGAGGTCAACAGGGAGGGTCTGTGCAGTCTGCTTGGAGGATTCAACTGTCCAGCATGCTTGGTCAGCCTGGGACAGCAGATTCCCCTTCCTCCCCACAACCCTTCATGTGGAGGGCGGCTGTGGGGAGGGGACCACCACCTGATGACCCCAGTCCCCATTGGATGCATTTCCACCATGATGGTTCATCACAACCAGCTCTGTGTCGGCTGGAAAGTACTCGATTTGGGCAGGTGGCCTGCCACCCTTGTGTGGAGGCCAGTAGTGGGGCTTAATGCTCCGGCACTGGGGGGCGGAGAGCAGGTGGGGGCAGGGCTGGCGTGCATCCCAGGGGCATGGCATGCGTCCTGGGGGCATGGCACGCCTCTCGCAGGGACATGGCACACCGCCTGCAGTGGCATGGTGCCTAGCATGGGCGGGGGGCAGCCGTGATGGCACCCCACTGGGATCGCGCTGCTGGGGGTGCTGCTTCCCCCCCACTCCTCTTCCTCCGCCACTGGTGGTGGCAGGTGTTACAGCCCCTGGGCAGCAGTTCTTGCTGTATCCTGGTGTCGAGGGAGACAACTGCTGCCATACCTTCCCTGTGCTGGGTCCCTCTCTGATTTGTAGTCCAAGTGGCTCTCAGCTATGACTTGTGTTTGGGAACTACAGAATCAGGGCAACAAGCAAACAAACAGCCCCACTATCCCAAACCCTTGTCATACATAACACACACCTAATACAAATTTATGCCTTTTTATTTTCTGCACAGCATTGTAGAACACACACATTGCCCTAGCCATTTCTTAGTGACTGGCTTTGCACACCATACAGTTTCTGAAAAGTCGTTAATGTCATTTTACCTCTCTGGCTAAGCTGCCATCTGAGAATTTTTTATCAGGTGAATTTCAGGCTGAAAAGCCACTGGAATATGTGGGAAATGCCTTGGGGATTAGAGGACAATTGAATGAAAAAAAGAGAAACATTCGACAGAGACTTTGCCATTAATTGCTTCCGCTCTAATCAAACGACTCTTACAGTTCTCTTCATTTCTAAGGGGAGGAGGAAGGAGAAGGAGCCACTCAATAGGAGGAGTTGTGTGAACGCCAGAAATGTTCCTAATAAGGCTGGTCTTGAGTCATTGTCAACATGAAGCCAGGGGTGAGAATGTTTTATAACCCAAGCTTTTTGCTGGCAGAGAACTTCAATGATTGCTACTCATTTCACCAGGACACTGAACGATGCCTCGTTCCTTTGCAATTACAAGAGGGCAAGAAGAAAACAGGCAATTCCTTTATGCATTTTCCCTCCAAACACTCAGCATTTGTGAAACACGCACACACACACGAGAAAATGGGAGAGCTCACCCTATTTCCCTGAACAACCTTGTAGCATGGGATATGTGATGTTTATTTACAAAGATCCAACAGTGCATTTGGAGAGCAAACAGACTCCTAAAGCAGGCAGCAACAGCTGCTAATACCGCGTCAGATTCCAGCAAAACAACAGTTGCAGTCCCCTGGGCATTTTTTTTGGGGGGGGGTGGTATGAGGGCAATTACTTTGGGCCTCACAGATGGAAGAGAGCACATCAACACTTAACAGAGCAGTACACTCCAACTTGGAAAAAGAAGGAAAGGGAGTTCAAATTACCATTCAGTCAGTGTACCTCTCAGAGTCTTAAAAAGGTCATGTGAGCCACCTGAAGGCACATCTCAATAGCAGCTGACTCCATATGAATCTCCAGCTCCTGGACAAAATCTCTCTCTGCCCTAATTCAAACTGCTACAGCATGGGTAGGCAAACTAAAATCTAAATCCAGCCTGCGGATGGTCCAGGAATCAGCGTGTTTTTACATGAGTAGAATGTGTGCTTTTATTTAAAATGCATCTCTGGGTTATTTGTGGGGCATAGGAATTCATTTATCTTCCCCCCAAAAAATATAGTCTGGCCCCCCACAAGGTCTGAGGGACAATGGACTGGCCCCCCGCTGAAAAAGTTTGCTGACCCCTGTGCTACAGTCTGTTTCCCTGTCCTTTGCCCTCATCTTCTGATGGGCACAATAATTCCAAAGTCCAGAGTTTTCTAGCCATTAAGTTCTCATAGTGTGGCCTCAGGTACCAAGTTATGCAAAATAATAGGGACAGGCCCATTTACCATAAGCCAAATCTGTTACGATAATCTTGGGTGGTTTGTGGATAGCTTTGCACTGATTTTGTCACAGCACTCCCAAATGAATTCAATTGCTTTCCTATTAAATTATCCAAGCTTTTATGAAGGACTCCACATCAAAAGAATGCGCAATATCACCACTGAAGCAGGGATGTCTCCTTTGCTGGCCCAGTTTAAATGAATCAGGCTGCAATCCTGTGAACATGGGAATAAGCCCCACTGTTTCTGATTAAACATGCATGTGATTTAACTGCTGGCCTTTCACATGGGCACAAAACTCTTTCATGCCCTGAACTTTTGCTTGAATAAAAGCAAAACCGAATAATATGTATTTATTCTACCTCTCATGTTACCTTATTTTTAAAAGTGAAATGTAGATTGGCTCTCCCTTTATCTGCTATAGCTGCCACAGGAAAATTATAGGACCAGGCTGCCCAGTATCATTTTGCTTGAGATTTGGGTTCTTCTTACTTCAATACTGTAAAACATTTGCCTTAATGCCCCTAGAAATATTTGCCCTTATTACAAATTGTTGGAAATTTAGCTGGAATCACATGCATGGTGTTTGCTTGCCTTTCATAAACCAGCCTGCAGTTTCTATATAAAAATGAATTCTCTCTCTCTCTTATGTTGTTACAGTGCTGTATTGAAGAGAATTATTTATTATTATTATTAATTCATTTTATTTGTTAGTCTATTCCCCAAGCTTTGCATTTATTTACTTTACAGTTATATAATTACCTCTAACATACACCTCAATGCACTAATGATGATCTATATTTTCTATTACTGTATCCTCTATTAGCTCTTTGAGAAGGGAATGTGTGGTAGCCCCCTGAAAGTCATAATCCATTTTGCTAATTTTTATGCCAAATGCACCTAAAAAGGGGGAAAGCTATATAATTCAAGGATGAAGGCTTCCCCCTCTTTTTTGTTGTTGAAAAAAGCATCTTAAAATCCTATTAATCCCTGCTTTCATTAGTAAGAGTAGCATATGGTTCTTTCAAGCCCTTATGGCTGAAAAGTGGAGCTTGATAGGCAAGGTTGAAGCATGCCCAAAATATCCACTGCAGACAGAAATGTATGGTTGTTTCTCAAGTTTTGCTTTCCACAACTGTTGCCCCATCTGCCCTATGCATTTAAAGGAGTATATTTCCAATTTAGACAGCCATGGCTTCCTCCAAAGAATTATGGGAGATGTAGCTGGTTAAGGATGCTGAGAGATGTTAGGAGATCCCGATTTCTCCACACAGAACTACAATTCTCAGAGTGGCTTAACAGTCAATCCCTCTTCCCAGGGAACTCTGATTTCAAAAGGACTCAGCATTTGATGGCAGAATTTGGCTCCCGGTTTCAGACTTGGATGAATGGTTGGCAAATCAGTCCCAATCTGTCTTTGTATGAAAAGGAGCTCATATTCTCCTCCACCCAGCCAGCAATAAAGCAAACCTCTTTGTGTGAAACGCCACGCAAGGAGACTGCTGGGGCTATCCAAGACCAAACTATAGTTTTGCAGAGCGAGTGGGTGCGCCAGACGGAAGCAGGCGGTGGAGAGTGGATAACAACAAGTTTGTGGACTGTATGTTGTAGATCCACCAGCCAATGTTGGATCCACTGGAAATCATAACCATCTGCTGCTTGTTTCAATGGATTCCTTGAAATCAGATACTGGAATCCAGCTTCTTAAATATGGGGCTATACATCACAATGTTAGAACTTGTTATTTACAAGGTGAAACTTGAGTGGAGTTGCTAACAAGTTTTATATACAGTGGGCGTGCAACTTACACTCACTTTACATGTGCAATTTCAACCTTAAATGGGGAGGAGGTGATAAATGGAGAGCAGGGTAAACTTGCCCGTCCCCACTCTCCTTGTTTCTTTTCCCTGCGCCTACACACCCAGTGGGTTTCCCTTCCGTAAGGGGCTCTGAGGAAGTCACAGGAGGGCCCTGGTGGAGCACAAGGAGGCACAGGGGTTCTGGGAGTATCCCTGGGCCTTCTTGCAACCTTCCTAGAGCCTGATAAGCAGTAAGGGTCAATTCTGGGGGTTCTGACTTTGTGTGATTTTGCCTTTGGGCTCAGACTCCCAGAACCGAACCCTCATGTAAGTGGCGGGCCAGCTGTATTTCTGTTTCCATGGGAAATAGCTGTGTGTGTCTTTGTGTGTCTGTCTGCGCGAGGATTTGTATAATATAGTTGGTTCTTTGTAGATATCAGCCCCTTAATGTGCTGAGCACGTTTGATCTATCTTTTGCACGTAAGGAGGGGGAAAACGTGTTGTTCTGACTTTCCAATCTACCTTGTGTTAAACACTTCGGGTGCCCACTCTGGCAATACATACGAAACTCAAGGGGGGAGGGGATATGAGACCCTGGATAACTAGGGGTTCCTTTTTACCAGGGGAGAAATTCAAGTGCAAACCATTGCCTTTATACTGGTTACACAGGCATTCACTGCAAACATACAATGATCCAAAAATAGTGAGCTGAGTGATGTCTGAGTATAACATCTTGGGTGCCACTAGCCGGCTTCATGATTGATGATATGAGCCCGGGATCATGAACCATTCAAAATCCCTATGATTTCTCTTGTAAACAATCCCGCACTGTGAGAAATTTTAAAAACATCGCTATCCTTAAAAAAAAGATGGGGGGGGGAGGTGAGCAGGAAAGAATATAGTTTCTCTCTTTTTTATATGCACACAGATGTGGATGGGAATATGAGGGAGCTGCCATTGCTTGGGATCAATAGAGCATAGATTATTTCCCATACTCTGGTATCTTGTTGATTACAGGCACTTTCAGTGCAAAGGAGGGGCCCTTTCATCCACACATAATAATGCAGCATTGATTGCAGATCAATGCAAAATTATCTAACACACTGGACTTGGCTTTGTGCATCAGTCATTCCCTAAAAGCATTTCTGTTCCA